ATCAATTCTAGCCTCCGTGAACATCCCTAAGGTACTACAGTGTCGAGGCAGCCTTAACAGTCCCCTGACGGCGTTGTTGAATTGGACACGCAAGGCACTGTATGCTTTTTTAGTGTAATTGCTCCACGCGTTGCACGGGTCTGGCAATATGTTTTGAAAAGGGTGTTTTTAACCTCGTAAGAGCACCGTGCAAACCTGCGGGCCAGTATATTACACCTTACCGCCAGCGCCTTGCGTTCCCTTCAGGTCAACGTCGTCTGTTGAATTTTCCATGACCCAGTGACCCAGATACATGAACTTAGTCACTTTCTCGAGTTCATTGCCGTTTAGAGTGACTGGTGGCGTTGAATAGGTTTTGGTATCTGATTTGAACACCAACAGTGAAGGCGACCGTCTTCTGTCAATTTGAATATTCGCACTAAATTAAACACTCGATTCCATTGACTTACAAATAAATGGACGACGGGTCTAATACAAAAACCACGAAAAAAATGTCCCAAGTCAACCTATTTAAACGTAGTGACATGTAAAGGAATATGAAAAAGCTAAAACGTTGAATTTAAATTGTAATGTCATCGCAGTACTGTCTAATTTTGCTTCGCTGTCAGTCGAACAAACGAAGACTAAAGCGTGAATGACGCTCTGTATACGATTTTAACGCCCTATAAGTTCGGACACTTTTTAGCGAGGACCCGACGTCCATATAATTGTAAGTCAATGCTCGACTCAGAGCATTACGGATTCTACGCATGCGAATGTCCCGCAGGTGGACAGTCCGTTCGGACCGTACGCACAGCTGTGAAACCAGTCTTAGTGACTGAAACATATTAATTATTAGCTATGGCCTGTGTTAGCTAGCCATTCTATATAAATAATAGTATGGGCGTTAAATTAAATACATCGTCCAATTTCAAAATAGTATATTTCATGGAACCCGTAGCGTTTCTTAGTTGCTTTTATAAAATTTATACAAATACAAATTAATGCTTTTTATCTAATCGATAATTTTTACAATAATTTCTCGTCCTATAAATTTGTTTAACATTTTTATATAAAATTACCTAGTATCTTCGTATAATTGGCACCACGTTTATAAAGAAGAATTTTGTGCATTTATAGAGATAGAAAGATAGGTTAATTCCGTAGCTCAAATTTCTGTATAAAAATTTGGTTGTCTTTTATTTCAAATAGAGCTGCCTCTTTCACGCTTTCAAAATGTGAAAGTGGTAATGGTTATTTCGTGTCTATTAAATGAGGTTTGCAAATACAAGCTATGGAATCGACGCCAATGAAAGTATGAGTTGAGATTCTAACAAATAAGCAAAATACTTAAGTCATAATTTGAATAATTATTACGTACATCTCAGTAGGTTTGTATTTCGCTAAATAATGTTATACAGTAATGGCAAAAAAATGACCTTAAAAGATAAATTTCCGAGATTTCAATAAGCTAGCAAAGCATAGAAATATATTCTGTTTTTATGAGCCCTTTGATGTAACGTACAAATATCTTTATGAAGAAAAAGAATCCCTATAATCACTGGTAGCAGGAAGTAAAATAAATAATTAATTAAAAGTAACAAATAATAAATAGTCCAATAGTAATAAAAAAATAATTCTCTATTAAATACTTAGTTCTAAATTAAATTATGTACTTAAAACTAAATGTTATACAACCAAAAACCGAGTTAAAATGAAGATATATTTAGCTCTATATACTTTGCCAAATAAAAAAAACTTTGTACGGCAGCAAAAAGTTGACAACGTTAAAAAAAATAAAACAAAATTAAGATAAAGGAATAGTTCTAAAGAAGTCATTTACCACTCGAAATTTATTCCTATTTTGAAATAAGATTCGCACAATTCAGTATATTTAAATGAAACGTAGTGTACAAAGTCAGTCGGAAAATAATAAAGTAATAATAAGCCACTTGCGTGAATTAAAAACTACAGTTACTTAGGCATACTTTAGGCGCTTTAATTAATAATAAAAATCTATATGATTATCTAAATTGTGTCTTGTAACGAGTCTCCTTTATATCTACTAGTCAGTTAGCAGCTGGAAAGTAGGCTCGCTACGAGCCTTTTTTAAATTATCTAAAACACCAACGGTTTTTAAATTGTTCTTTAAGGGATTCTCGGATAGAATATGACGAATAAAATCACTCGATAGTGCAAACTTATAATTTTTCTCAATTAAATAATTTAAAAAGTGACACAATTTAAAAAAATAAAGAAACTTAAGTAAATTTTATACAATACTGGTATTGGAATGCGAGAAGCAAAATCAGTGGGAAAATTTTGGAGACAGTTGGATGACCAGCATCGAGAAATACAAGGAAGGAATTCTGCCTCATATAGGGGTGAAATCTTAATCCAGACAAATAGTGAGGTGGTTTCTTGCTTGGATAGGATCTAGAAGCTACTGTGGGGCTTATTATGCCAAATGGGGGAAGGGGAGACCCATTAAAACGATATTGTCCCATTTAAGTTAACTTTGAGACCATTGTATTGGCTTGAGTTTTGTTAAAACTCAAAGCAATACAATATGTACATTAATGCACTCGGCAACAGTTTAATAACGAAACGTTAAGTATAAAACGCATTGAGATATTTTTAACAGGTTCAAAGACGTTTTTTACAATTTCAGGGTAGCTGGAAATCTTAATGCACCCACACTATTTATTCAGCAAGAGATTCTTTACCCAATTTTTAAAATTTCCTAAAACCTAGGAGGCGTTTCTAATAAATTAATCTTTAATGTACTTTACACTCCTATGGCCTGCTAACTTACAACAATAATATAACATAAACCATACACATAATAATTAATTATATTTCAATAACATTATTACGTTAAGGGTCGTGGGATTTGGCTTTCTTAGATTCTGTAAAATTCTTTGCGTGCTATAATTTGCTTCAGGTAATTTCTTGATAGATGGCGTTGTTATAAAAGCACAACAATGTCATATCAAGTAGTTTTGTTTTCTGTAAAATGTTTGTCATGCTATAATCTGTTTGAGGTAATTTCTTTATAGATGGCGTTGTTATAAAACTGCGACATTGGTTTATGTATTTATTTATAAAGCACTGGCTTCAGAGCCATCAGCTTAATGGTAACAAATAATCAAGAAACGCACAATGTAATATACGTAAAGTAACAATTAATTCGTGTAAAAAATGTAACTATTAAAACCCGCCATTTGATTTTTTTTTGGCTTATGTAGAGCATTGCGTTTTCTTGTCGCTGTTTTATCAAGGCCTAAAGAACATCGTGACTGCTAAATCACATTTTCTTAACGCAAGAATTTTACATAATCTACGGGTTTTAGACGCCAAATCGTGGGCTCTTAACTGTATACTTTTTATCTAAATACAAATTATGATAACATCACAATTAGTTGCAAACATAAATAAAGTATTAATTTATTTATGTCGCGTTGAAGACTAGAATACGTTGAGAATGCAGACGTCGTGTAATCCGGAGGAATTTGACATTTGCTTCTACATTGTTTTGAGTAAGTTTGACATACACGGAGTTACCATTGCATTGTAGACTGTGGTAGCATAAACACTTCGCAAGTTTTGTGGCACATGACAAAAACGGATCGAGCGGCCGTTTGCTTTCACAATGAGTATATTTTGTTTGTTTCTCCTCGTTTTGTTGATGTAAGGAATCCAGCCGACCCTTGGACAAGGGCGTGGTGAAACTGTTCACTCTGGAAATAGATAAAATTGACTTTTAATTTTTTTTCTTTTCAAACAACAACTTTTCTTTCGCGACTTTTTACCAAACATAATAAATTTAGCAAAACTTAAGCTAAAGGGGAAAATAAACAAGACCGTGATTAGGCCTGTGGTAGGTATTGTGTGGATCACAATGTTGGGCGATGAAAAGGGAGAACGAACGAACTGTGCATACAGCGGAAATGCGAATGTTGAGATGGATATGTGGAATGACAAGAAAGGATAAGATAAGGAATGAGTACATCAGGGGAAGTTTGAAAGTGGCGCCAGTAACGGAAAAGATGAGAAGTAATAGGTTAGCGTGGTATGGACATGTCATGAGGATGGAATAATGTCATGTGACGAGAAGAGCGTTAGGTATAAATATGGAGGGACATAAGCAAGAAAGGAAGGCCAAAGGAAAGATGGATGGATTGGGTGAAAGATTTAGTAGTTCACCCAGGGAAGTACTGCCACCTTATCTATTTCTGCCGCCAAGCAGAAATGTCAGTATTACTGTGTTCCGTTTTTGAAAGGTAAGGGTGCTGGTGAAATTACAGGCACATAGGACTTGTCAGCTTATGTCTCAGGGTGATTCAGATCTTAGCGATTTAAAACTCTGAGTGGCAGTGCAACTGTTATGGACAGGCGTGTAGCTTACCATCAGGCGCAGGACTTGTTCGTCTCGTTACTTGATATTGTATAAAAAAAGGAACATGGGTAAGAAAGGTGTGAGTATGGAGAGTGGAATAAAAATACATGTTATGCCGACCCCACCTAGCGTGGGTAAGGCCATGAATAAGAGAGAATAATAAGTGTTGGTTACTATCTCACACTTTTTTGATCAGTATTTAGTGGTAAGGTAGTAAGTTCAAAGGTCCAAGCGTCCTCCCCGAAATTCTCCACTCCGCTCCTGCGTTTTGCATCGGGCTGCGTATTTACGCTAACGCTTTCTCTTGTTACCGCAAAGAGGTATCACCGTTTATGTAAATATGGTTATTTTTGTACGAAAGTAAAATTTTATGGTTATTAAAAGTCATAGAATTTATTTATGATGTTAGTATTATACCTAGTCCTGGGAGGTAGCTCTCTAAAATTGTCGATTTAGAGCTTATTCACCTAATATTATAATAAATTATAGGTTTGTTACTACAATATGCCTTCTTAGTATTTTCCCGCTATTTCTGAATTAGTTTTCACAAAACTGTTCCGTTATTACAATATTCAAATATAATTACCGTTGTAAAGTTGTTGCGTAGACCGTAGCTGCGTGGGCCCTCGTGTGCGTTATATGTCATGTGGCAAAAAACGTTGCGAATCGTTGGCGTGCGCGTACGCATGTTAGCGCCCTCCAACGAAATCGATCATTTGATCTAACTCTTCCTCCTTGTCGTTGAGGTACAAAGACTCCAGGCATCCCTTGAAGTAGGGTGTAGTGAAACATTTTGACCTGAAAAACGTTGCTATTATTAGACAAAATTATCTTTGTGTCATTTTCGTTATTATTAACATTCAAAATGATTAAGTTTTGGTTGAATCAAATCTATGGACTTCTTAGGTTTTCGCGTTCCTATGTATAACACAGGAAATTAAACTATTTTTCCGGATTTAAATCGCGTATATTTCTTTTTTCAAACAAAACGTTTCGGGCCCTTTACAGGTCCCATGGTCCCAGTCAACCGTAATTATGGGACCTGTCTGCCTATCCTTGACCAGATATCGCAAAGACCAGAGGGGCATTACCACTGCGCCTGTCACCCTGAGACATAAGTTGACAAGCTCTACTGCCATAAAAACTATACCAGTCCATTTTAACATTTTTGCCGTAGCTCGTCTACGACTTGCGTTCTTAAATAAGTAATTATATTTATTAATGTGGAATCTTCTTGAGTTGGTCAGAATAACCTTTATGTCCATGCGGCAAGAGTGAAGAAGACATTGTGCATTTCACTTCCCCTCGCACCACTGACGACAAATGCACAGTCTTCGCACTTCGCTCTTATTAAATAAATATAAAGTTTTTTCTGACCGACTTAATACGATTCGTTGTCGATAAATATGATAACTCCTTTACGCTTTCAAAAACGATGAGTCTGCGTCGATATATAGAAAAGGTAATGAACTCATTGACAGAACTAGTTTCACAAGAGCTGTAAGCTCAAGAACTAAAGTGCTTAATTCAAAATATCTTGTACTGTTAGCTTAATTCTAGATACGTACTAATAACGTACAATTTTTTGGATCCCGTAACGCTTCTGCTAGTGTCAAATATTTTAAATTAATATAATAACAAGATTTTGAAGCTGTATTTATCCATTCTGTTTCCAACCAAGACTAAATCATTTTGTTAACACTCGTGATAACGAAAGTGCGACTCTTGAGAATTTAATCAAATACTTACCACTGTTAATTTTAATTTAAGAAGATTACTAACTACTTTGGGCAAGAAAGAGATTACAAGTGCACGTTTAAAATGTTACCATTGCGTAGAAAATTTCAGTGAACTTATGCAAATAAGCTGAAAGTGTTAAGTTGCTTACAGTGAATAGTGCTAGAGTAAAAGTAATTATGAGCGTTACAAATAGCGATAATAGAAAAGAATATTAGGAGTGCATTTGAAAAATATTACGTTTTTTTAAAACATTTCAGTGAACTTGTGCAAATAAGCTGAAAGTCAATCATGGTTAGCGTTACAAAGTGAAATAATAGTGTGCAAGATGTGTTATAAATTGTCACTAAATTGATGTTACAAACCCTTAAAATAATAAAAAAACAAAAACCAAATTTTTACAAACTAAAATAGGTGGTCATTAAAAGTAATAGAAAAAGAAAAAGGCGTGGTTAAAGGAAGAAGCGAAGGAAAGGAGAAATAAAAAAATGGTAATAAAAAAATACCTAAAGTTTCGGATCAGCCCCGTGTAAATGTTTAATATATTTCTTGTAAGTGTCGAGATTCTCGTTTAGGAGGAGGGCCTCAACGCATCCCTTGAAGTAGTCTGAGGTGAAACAGTCAGCCCTGTTTTGAAAAAATTACATTTGTTGTGTTAGTCCATTTTTCGATTATAGATCAGTGTCGGGTATTCATGATTTGTCGTGTAACTACTTGAAATACTTGATATATGAATGTTCATTATATCAATACAGTGTATTTTTATATTTTATGTTATTATATATTTTATATTTTTGTCATTATCTACTATCAGCTGAAACATGTTACCTGCACGAACATAGGCCCCCAGCCACCTTATAGTGCTCTGATAAATCCTTGCCGCGGTGACTCAGATTGTTCTACAGATCTAGTTGCGGATTGGTACTACAATTTCCATAATATTCATTTACTACATACATATGTACATATGTAAACATCATGACCTGCTACGAACCTCCACTTGCTACGATTCTGACATTCTTTTTTTTTACCTTTGTCAATGTTACATTCAAGGTCTTGGTACATTTGACCATTATCTTAATGTCCTCAAAATTATTTAGTATCTTTATCAGCCCATACTCGGTTTACTGGTACTGCACTGGTCTCCTCTAATTAGAGGATGTAGTTCACCACGCTGACCTACTGCATGTTGTGGACTTACAGATATATACACAAAAACCAAAAGTCATACCTGCACAGATTAAAGAGCTGAGATTCTCTGAAGAGGTTATAACAGTCGTCGCAGACGCGGTCAAGACGGTTAAACATGACCTGGTCGTAGACGCCCTTGCATTGCAGGTCGTAGAAGGAGCGACGCGTAATGTGGTGCTCGCGCTGGCCGCCGGGCAGCGCGGTGCAGGTGAGCGCGAGCGTCAGAAGAGCTGCGCACATTACTTGAACCGAACTTAGATGCATCTGTAACAATGGATAAGAATACTTTAGCAAGTACTCTAAATACGCCTAATTGCAATGTGAGTCGACGATATAGTATGCGTCTCAGGGCGTCAATGGATGTAACCAGGCTGTGGTTAATGAGGTAGTGGACATGGAGAATTTTAATAGCAGTAGAGCTTCTTGTGAAAAAGTTGCCAGGAAAGTACTGCCACCTTATCAATTTCCGCCGCCAAGCTGAAAAAATTGAGGTAAGCACAATAGTACTGCGTTTAAAGGGTAGGGTTCTGGTGAAACTACAGGCACTAGGGACTTGTCAACTTATGTCTCAGAGTGACGGGCGCGTATTTTATACGCACCGACGACGCGCAGATGACGCGCGTAAACACGATTCAAACGCGATGCAGTCGTAGCGAGTAAACCTTTACACACGTTCATAAATTTAGTAGCGCCGTAACGTAAACACGCATTATCTGCGCGTATACGCGCCGCAGACGTATTGTAGTCGCGCGTATGTATCGCTCATTTTGATAGTATTAATTTTAGTTTTGTTTGGTAATTTCCGTTAGTTTTTGAAATGAAGTAAATATATGAAATTCTAAGTGTAAACTCCAATGGAGTATAGAAGCCGCTTGATTGCAACGTGATGTTCGCGAAAAACGCGATACAGACAGGCTTCGAATTAGCTTCTCGCGCGCTGTATCGCGTTTAAATCGATACAAACGCAACAATCTGCTTCTTGAACCTCTACCGCGCCGTAAATGCGCGTTCATGAAACGCGCGTCGTCTGCATATGCTCTAAAACATTGATAAAAAATTACAGTCTGTATAATTTTAAAGCCCACATGGTGGTGAGGCATATCAATTAGGCACAGTTAAATACAAAAAACAGTCTGTAATAAATACGTCGTAACGTTCTAAATGCTTAACACAAGGTCGGCCTATTCGTAAAGTGGTCTATTTGTAATCGGCCCACCAAGCTATCTCATACTGTTAACTACGCTTTCCGCATTTGCGTTTATCAGTTGTTATAATGAAAGGGCGGTGTCGCCCGACCGGCCGGCTGGTTCAGCGCTTACTCCACTAACCAAACCCGACTGTCGTAAGGTGTAAATATAGCGCGATTAACTGGCTGGACCACCTTCGTTCAGACCGCACTTAAAGATTATTGGACCACCTAGCGCACCAGGACCACAAGTCGCGGTGTGAACGTGATTACGAGCTAATAACTTAACTGCTTCAAATGGGGCAAATTTAAATTGAAAACGCGCGTTCGTTTCTCTTTTAATAATGTTGTGGACTTGCGTACCTAGTGATAAATTGAGACTTCCTGTTTGCTCCTTAATGTAAAGTGTACTGTATGATAAATGCAGCAGGTTTTAATCGATTTCTGCTGTCCGAGGCCAGCCTTAAATTTCCCTCCCCATTTTATTTTCGCGATTACAAAAGAATTTTCCTAAATGCAGCTACTTGACACTTTTTTTATGGTATTATAAGTGGCGGCACGAACAAGTCGTGCGCCTGTTGGTAAGCGGCAACTCTATCCATAACAGTTGCCGTGCCATTCTGAGCTTTAAATCGCAAAGATCTTATGGGTACTGCCACTGCACCCGTCACCCTGAGATATAAGTTGACAAGTCTCATGTGCCTGTCATTTCATCAACACTCTTATTCTAAACCGGAACGCAGTAATGCTCAAATTACTGCTTGGCGGCAGAAATAGGTAAGGTGACAGTACTTCCCTGGACGAACTCTTTCACAAGGAGCTCTACTGCTACTAGTGTATGAACATTAATTTCTTTAAACTTGTCTCTCAAAGGCCAAAACAACGAAAAATAAAATAACATAACAGAAGTATGAAAGTTGAAAGACATATAGTATAAATGAATTAAGAAGTAATAATCTCAGTACAGATTATAAAAAAACGACTTCAAAAGTTCGTAGAATTACATCTATTTGCCAAGTTTTATAGAAATCGGTTACCGGAAAGTGCGCGAAACTAGATTCGTCCCCTGGTTTGCCACCCTTAGAGGTGGAATATTTCCTTCAAATTTAAATGGGACCACTACCAAGGTATCTTATCTTTCCAACAAAAAAGAATCATCAAAATCGGTTCACAAATACTGGAGTTATCGCGTAACATACAAAAAAAAAAAACAAACGGTCGAATTGAGAACCTATTCCTGTTTTTGAAGTCGGTTAACAATAAGGAATATCACAGTTCAAATAGCACTTTTGGTTGCGTTTGTTTCGTAGTTCGTTCGGGTAAGCTCGACTCGATTGTGATTTTATGTTAGACAGCCGTCGTCGTCACCTCTGTCTTGGTCAGGATAACTTTTTCTCAAATAGTGAAATTTATTGTCTAATTTAACTAAAAGAAATAATTTTGACTAGTTAACGTTCTGCCGCGCTTGCCTCCGCCCCCGTCCCTGGGCCATCCGGGGTCATGCCCCTTCTGCACCCAGTTACGCCACTCATTTTTGTTTCTATACGTATTTGTAATATCAAAACCTTAACAAAACTAAGTGGAAAGACCTTAATTTTTAGATTAGGTTACAAGCACACAAAGGTTAGAAAGAGAGAACAATAAAGCGAGTGTAGAGAGACAGGCAAATTTGTGTAGAATACATATTAATTAGCACATTACCAATTTCTACTAACAAGTAAATATTGGAGACTGTCTACAATACAATCAGATGTCGAATTTTCATTGTACTAGTTTTTTAAATATACCTGTAAGTAAACCTATCTGTACTTAACACTGTCGTATCGTTAAGCAACAGGTTTTCGTTGTCGCGGTTTTGTTATATCGTAAAGTGCGGCTCTTTGGTAACGAGAAGCTGCGCCCGCGGCGCCCGGGGCCTCGGCTGATTCATACTCGGACAGTGTAATAAAGATATTACAGCCGTGGGAACTTAAGGTATGTTATTGAGGAGATATGGATCAAGAATCGATGTTTTGTTTTGGGTTTTTCAAAGTCTGCTATTGTTTTTACTGTACGGAGTTTGTTAGTTCGGAAAAAGCGGCAACGAGCGGGTAAGGAAGGATTGAGAAGAGTGCAACCAAATGACATGATAACTATCTAGGTGACAGGCCTCAGAAAAGGAAAATGTGGCCACTGAAACCAAAATATCCAGACGTAAGCAATAGAGGATGCTAGAAAGGACCTCAAGCAAGACCGCTTGTACGTCCTAAGACTTGCCTCGATAACGAAGATGGTTGATACCTAACGTTGTAGGGGTTTGTCTGCTTAATAAAATATAAACTATGATGTTGTTACAACAAGGTCTAAAGGTCTATCACCTCCTTTACTAGCAAACAGGTGCTTGCCAGTAAAGGAGGTGATAGAAGCATACACATTATGTAGAGATAACATTGTTACTCTAGAGATTGATCTATTATATATAGCTTAAATCTATACTGCATACCTACTAGAATCGGTTCGAAACATCTGCACAAGTCTTAAAAGAATTGAAAAAAAAAAACTGTAGTAATTACAAGATCCGGCCCGAAGGACCAGCTGCATAAGCACGCCACCCAGGCAGCCGAGCTGTCTAGCATGTCGCGTAATTACTATGCGATTGCGCAGCACAGCGGTCGCTCGTTCACTGCGCCTGATGTTTATTTGATGAACGCTTTCAAAACCTTTACGTATTCACTATCGGTCTTGTCTCTGCCAGGAATGCATGTAATATGGGGTGTGATGGAATTTGAATTTAGCAACAGATTCATGCTCTTTAGCATTCGCTACTGTTTCTTTGAAGCCACATGAATTACTTAAGTGAAAGGAACTAAAAGAAAAAAGAAACCATCCGTAACACCTGCCCGAGTTAATTGAATTATTGATCCTTCGAGCCGGATACGCGTTGCGTTATTTTTATATTTTATTGCAGCTTTACTTAACGCGCCAGTTTGGTTCTATATGTATTACTATTGAAGATTACACTTATAACATTCCATGCTGAGATGTACTTCAATTGTAGTGTCTCATTTGGAAAAAAATTATTTCTGCCATTTCGAGTACTCTACCTCAGTTGGTCCCATAGAGACTATTGATCCTTACCAGAGACCGGATCGAGTGGCGTAAATAAAGTTTTGTAAAAATTGGCCTTTATCTTGCTGACTGTACCATTTTTTGAAATTCTGTGAATGCCAATCAAAATATCTTCAAAATTCATGGATAGTCTTCTAGAATCGTTTTTCTGAAACTACAACGATTAAGGTAGCTGGCCTTTTTAGATTCAAGAGCTACGGTAGTCATGCAACTTGCGCTAACATCCCAGTTTTAGTATTAAGTAGATAAAAAAAAAATCATCAAATTATGAAACGTAGATCTTTTGTTTCTTTTTAACATGACGATGTGTTGAAAAAATGTACAATCGTAATAATTACAGGAACGCTAAAAAAAGGTTAAATTATAGAACAACGATGAATAACTGGCCACGTATACCAGAAAGATTAATTAGAAAAAAGAATTACTTAAATCGTCTTTTGATTTCGATGAAACATGTGTCCAGTCTTAAAGAACGTTGTTGTCATAATTCATCGAGTATATAACCAGAAATAGAGACGAAATAAGGGCCATATATTCCTGGTAACAAATTAGCGTTACAGCTCTTATAAATATCAACTCCCGTTTGCACTGAAATATAGACAGGCCAATCTCAAAGTCTCCGTATATTCCAAAAAATATTCTGTATTTATTGTAATAAAGATAATATCTCTAACAATGCCGTGCTGTGCTATTCGGTGGTGTGGGAAAAACAGCAAAACATCTAATTACAAAACAAACGGAATCACATTTCATCGGTAATTAAATATTAAATATGTAATTTTGCAATTTTCCTCCATTATAGCAAAGCTCAAGTTAACTGGTCGATTTGAAGTGAAACAGTTGACGACACCCATTGACGACACCCGTCAATTGTTTCGAACTCGGGCTAGCCAATCGGAGCCCAGTTGTCACAGTAATGATATGGCACAATAGTTTTCAAACAAATTAAATGACATTTCGCCTCTATTTC